ACTACGGAGGTAGATTGCCCAATCTTCCTTCCTCCAAGTGGCTGGTGGATTTGAACTGCCAGCCTTCTGGTTAGCAGTCAAGTGCCTTTGGCACTATGCTACCAGAGCTCCAAACCCACTGCCGTGGAGTTGAGTCCAACTCATAGTGACTCTTCCTTGGGTTTCCGAGGCAGTATCACTACGGAAGTAGATTGTCCAACCTTCCTTGCGAGGAGTGGCTGGTGGGTTTGAACCGCCCGCTTCTGGTTAGCAGTCACTTGCCTTAGGCACTAGCCACCAGAGCTCCCCTAAGTATGTGTGGGATTGGAAAATTTGTTTTTTAGTGTGTTTTGCGAATTCACCACTAGAGGGCCACATTGCCACTGTTATCTGTCTGAGGAGCTTTGTGACCACTAATCCAAGAGGCCTCAACCCTTGGAGGCACTGGGCAGGGTGCTTTGATCCTGTGTTTGGTGGGGATGGGAATATCTGAAGGAAGGTTGCATTTTATCTGCTGGAAAATAAGGACTTTCTGTTTAATTTGAAGGGTTTCAGGTGAGAGAGGAGGGATTTGAATACATATACTCAGCCCACTATTTCAGTGAATCTCAGTATAATTTTGAAGTTGCATCTCAATATAATTTTGAAAGTGTTTGCTTTCTTTTTTGTTTTTTAAAGGCTAGAAAAACAACTTGTGTAGCTAGTACTCCTTGTTCTATTTTTCCTGTTGTGGATTCACCCAGTGTAGAATAAAGTACCTTTTTTTTTTTTTCCTACTTGCTTAAGGTGATATTTTCCAATTTCTCTGCTGCCAGTTTACTTATTTCACTTTGCAATTAATAAGTAACTTGTGGGAAGGTACTTTGAATATATAAATTTCCTGTTCCTCATACTCTCATGTACTAGTTTTAACATTCAGCAGTGATTTTGTACAGCCGTCATTCTTGGTTTATTACTCTGATGGCACTCTTCTTTAAGGTAGAACTTTATTCTCTCTTCATTTATTTGTTCATTGTCCATTATGTCAGTACATACTCATGGATTTTGCTTTTTCAGTGGATGCACTGTTACTGCCCTTCTTTCATCTGATCTCCGATTGTCTGGGTTGGCAGCTGAGCCCTCGCAGGTCGGCTCCTGTGACGTCTCCATCACTCCTGCAGTACTTCCTTGCTTTGTGGCACTTCTAGATGTCCCAGCCTCATCTATTCCTTTCCCTATGCAAGCTCAGGAGCCAGCCCTATCTGTATGCAGCTAGTTCCTTTCAGTGGAGAATGGGTGGTTAGGAGCCAAGATCTGAGCTCTTGCTGTGTTCATTGCTGTGTGTGTGTCGGGGGGAGGGATGGTGGCTGGTCCCAGGCCTTTCCAGTGGACGAAGCTTGTGTGTGTGTCTGTGTGTGCACAGGCACTCCTAATCACTAAGTTCCCATGGAATGAGAGTGAGCAGAGTTCATTCAAATTCAAATTGGAATGTAATGCCTGTTTCTATAGCATTTGGCTGTCTCTGCAATGAAGATGAACAGATCAGATTTCTTACAAAACTCTGCTTCAGCAACTCCCATCCTTTTTCACTCATTCTTCTGAGGACCAAATGCTTCTTATTACTTAGCCTCATTGACACTTTCAATCCAGTTCTTGGTGGCCTTGGAGCCATTCTGTCTCTCTAAGGTGACTGCTAATACTAGGTGTGACACATTGGTTGTACAGATGTCTTTCCTTTTGGGACACTTTCCTCAGTGCCTTCACACTGAGGGGTGTGCTCACTACCTGGCAGTGCCCTCATGAGGACAGGTTCCAGGTGCCCTCCCAGCAGAAACACTTCCGTTCTGACATGGCAGCCCCTTCAGCAGCAGCTTATCTTGGCTTTCTTCATGTTGTATATGGACTGAATCCAAAAGTATTCCGGCCCTGGGCTTGCGTATGTGGGCAGGGGAGTGAATGCTCTCAGCCGGAGGTACTGTGGGGCTGAGAGCAGGGCAGATGCGGATGGATGAGTGGAGATTAAGCCTTTGAGTTGACATTTCTGAAAAAGCACCTGTGGGTAAGGAATGAAGTGAATCAGAAGACTCGAAATATTACCACATTACTTCTGTTGCCTGGGTTATATTACCGGTGCATTTTTGTTTTGCTTTGTTTCTTTCCGTTCTTCTCAACAGGATGTGAAGGGCTGACAAAACTCGACTTGACGGTCAATTTCATTGGCGAGTTGAGCAGCATTAAAAGCCTGCAGCACAACATCCACCTGAAGGAGCTCTTTCTCATGGGCAACCCGTGCGCTGACTTCCTCGGGTACCGGCAGTTCGTGGTGGCAACTCTTCAGCATTTAAAGGTACAAGCGTTTCAGTGATGCAGAAACAGAGGGAGGATAAGGAGCAACTGAGCCATTCCTGATTTGCTCCTGGAGTGCTTGCTCCAGGGAATTGACACGAAGTCTGTCTACTCTCAGTGAACCTCTGAAGTTGTTTTCATGCGTCTCTGTTAAATGAATTTGGTCATTTTCTCTTTCATTCAGAATGTGCAGAGTTTCATGTCACTTTCTCAGTGAAGTGACCTCATTACTGCTGGCAAAGCAAAAGCTTAGGGTTATCAAGGTGGTGCCAGCACAGGGAGTAAGGAGCCTGGGTAGCACAGTGGTTATAGCGCTTGGTTGCCAACTAAAGGATTGGTGGTTCCAACCCACCAGCTGGTTCGTGGGAGAAAGACGTGGCAGTCTGCTTCTGTAAAGATGACAATCTTGGAAACCCTATGGAACAGTTCCCCACTGTCCTATAGGGTCACTATGAGTCAGAAGCGACTTAATGACACACAACAAAGCACTGTTTAGTCTTAGAGTATGTGCTTTTATAAATATTATTATTATTTTTTATCATTGTTTCTTTTAAACTCATTTTCCGTGTCAGTGGTCCTCAGACTCCGTCATACATCAGAATGCTTCGAGGGTGTTTTAAAGCACAGATTGTGGGGCCCCAGCCCTGGGGCTTCCAGTTCCCTAGGACTGCCCTGGGGCCTAAGAATCTACATTTCTGTCAGACTCAGGTCACACTGATGCTGCTGCTCTGGGTACCTCGTTGAAGAGCAGTTACTCTGTGTTTAGTCTCTTCTACCAAAATCTAAAATCAAACCCACTGCCGTCATGTTGATTCCGACTCATAGCATCCCTAGAGACCAGAGTAGAGCTGCCCCCTAGGGTTTCCAAGATTAAAAATCTC